AAGTTTTTCTTGGTACTGACAATACGATCAGACGCATTTTAAATTTGGCTACTCTAAACCCATCATTTCAAAAGCAAATACCCATTTGTTGCGTGGACAATAAAATATAAAATGACGAATAAGGTAAAGCTACGTAGTTAAAGATGAGAGCTCTCAGCTTTATCTAAGCATCAACTTCATAAATAGGGAAGCCCATATTGACGACGGATTTTTACTGAACCACTTCCAGTCGCATAAAGAACGAAAATAAGCCCTAGGCGAGCCGTTTGTAGAACTTGCAAATAAGATGAAGTCAGAAAAATTTCGAGAAAGTCAAGACACGAAATTCTGTTCAAAAAAACAGCTACTTTTCGTGGGAAATGAAGGATTTTCAAGCCCTTCTTGTATGATTCAGGTATCAAAGAGCGAATAAGTTCAATTGTAGAATATGAACTGAGCTAAAATGAGGGCCCTTGCCACCACATGGAATTCAGACAGTTTAAGCTACATTTTACAAGGATATTTAGCGCACATATATCAAACAAACGGTGGTATTATTAATTTTGAAAGTACGTAGCCCAGGATTTGGAAGGCCCAGCATAGCTAAGTCTAGTATATGCGAGCATCCCAGTAACATCACTAACATCAGTTTCCCGCACTTCTTGTCCGGATTGCCCTAGCATGTTTCGCTGTTCTGTGTGGCAATTTTTGCATCCAGTATTTTCAACTTATGCTTCAACTAGCTGTAAATCATAACTTGATTTGTGAACTTCACAGCTAGCATATTTCTCAAGCATTGGCGTATATTGTGCTCAAACAGAGTACAGTGGATGTAAAAACATGAATCTTTTGATTCGTCGTAATTTGGCCCTAGTTTCGAGTATATTCCTGTAAAAAAGTGGGGCCAGTTATCAAACAAGAATTTTTAAGAAATTTTTGAATAAATTTTTTCATTTTTTAAGAAAATGCAGCATTTTTTAAAGAAAAAACTGGTGGAAATCTCACTTCTTTTTGATAAAAAGTCTTCGCTACACGCCTTGGCTTTTTCCTTGATGTAGCTGAACATACATG